GGTGGGGGGGTGGGGTAGGGGGCACCTCAGCCCGCTGGGGAGGGGCCCAAACTGCACACACAGCCCATACATTCAGCGCCTCTCACCTGACCTAAAGTCAGCAAGGAAGACAAAAATAGGTTACTGTCAAAATTGCCCTTGGCCATTTTTAAAAGAAAAATGTCTGTGACTGCTCATAAAGCACAATGTGCACGGTTTTTATATATAAAACTTAAACCATGTATGCAAATGTATCCTGTGCACAGTAACGTGCTGTATATAAGAACACTAAATATAATTTATAGTCCTATTTAATTTTATCATCTATTTCTTTGATCGAGTGCATGTAGATGAATTTTAGTAAGTGAAATGTTCATATCATGGGACCCTACTTAACTGTTTTGGAGTGTTCATATGACATTTATTTCACTGAAGTTTAATCATTCAGATATACTGTATTGACTTGAATCTAATCATCTTAATGACTGAAGATATTATAGGTGGTTTAGGGTATAATCATGGTCCACCCTCAATTATCTGTGGGCAGGTCGTGATCTCTGAGGCTCAAATCTCAAGAAAATATTTAATCCTGGTCATACTTTTCTCTCAGCCCAGCAAAATGTATTTGGGAAAATAAACCTTCTTTCAGACCCTCTCAGTATTCATCATGCGGGCAGCACTGCCCAGTGGTTAGGAGTGTTTAGGTCCTGAAGTCAGCTCTCCTTGGTTCCACTCCTGACTGGATGAACCGCAGTCTCCCCAGGCTTCTGTTCCAGAAAGTGAGAGGAAGATAGAGGCAGGACCAACCTGGAAGACTGTTGAGAGCTTTGACTTGTATCTGTGTGGGAACGCCTGGCCCAGCATCTGGCACGTAGTGCGTTCTCAGTAAGATTAGTTACTGCTATGGCCTGAATGTTTATGTTCCTCCAAAACTCGTACATTAGGGGCCGGCCTGGTAGCTCACTGCTACAGTGCGCCACTTGGGAGTGTGGTGGCGCTCCCGCCGAGGGTTCGGATCCCAC